ACTCTTCCTCAGTGGCATGCTTTAGATTTGTTGTTCTGTAGCTTTCAAAATTCCCAGCCAACAACATGATTGTCAGTCCCAACCTTTTGGAGAGGGTTGGGTTAAAGCTGAGTTTCACTGACATTACAATGCTAAGCTAACTGAATAATTTAATAACTGAACCTCAGGAGGTGAGAACAATGTAATAATGTTTCTGCTACAATGGGAATTAAATTTCTCATATTATGCTGCCTCTTTTGTAGTTTCCTTAAAGATTACATTAAAGTCCATGGCTGAATTCAGATTATATATCACAATTTAGCTCTGTGAGAATAAACTTTGATTCTCGCTATGTTTGTATATATCTTCCTTAGGCAGGAAGCAGGCTGCAAATATTTCTTTCCTAATTAACCACAACTTGCAAAGTCATCAACCAATGCAAAATAAACTATGGTTAATATTAAATAATGGGAACAAGCAATTCCTTAAAGTAGAGAGGACACAGATACTTCAAAACTGAGTACTGTTTTGAACATTTGTTTCTGTTCGCTTATTTCAGTATCGCTATCTATGTTCACTGTTTATTTATGAGCTCATTCTTTATGTGGGTATTATACAATGCTTGTATAATTGGTATCTTAGTGTCTTGTAAAGCACTGCTTCCTTTAATATGTAAATACAGTTTCTATTCATGCTTAATGCTTGGGTATTACTAGGTTTTAAATGAAGGGTGGCAAAGGAGCAAAGGGTTAAGAATGGAAAAGAAATGGAATATAAAATGCATGCTCAAGAGAGAATGAGAAATATTTTAATATTTAAAATATCTAATATTAATATTTATCAGCAACTTAGTGTGCTAAGAGTGAATGTAAACTCAAATGAGTTGTTTCCATGACACACAACATAAAGGAGAAAGACATTTACATATTGAGAGTTGCACCTGAATTCTACAAAATCATAGCAAAATGCATAAAGTCAGTAGTTAATTGCTGCGCTTGAAATCTTATTAAAATAAGCTAGTAAAAAACTAACAACCAGTTTTTAATAGATCAGTCATTCAACACAAACCTATTGAAAGATTTAAAATGATGTTTCATTGATCTGTTGTTAAGCTTGTTATAAGTACGTAACTGATTGATTCTTTGGTTAATAATAGGGGGTTAAGAAGTAACCTGAGAGTTGTCAAATAACTTGCTGAAAACTTCCTGTAGCATTTAAAATATTTTAAAATTGCATTATATTTTTGATTGAATGAACAAAACATTACAAGAATTAAAAAAAGATTAATAATGGATTACTATGTAGTACATATTGAGACACATCAGACATCCATGTTTAGAATGGTATATGAACACAATTTTTAAAAAGGGAAATGGTAAGAAGATTTGAATAAATTACAGGGCTCTTCAAAATACTTTGTTCTGTTAATTTTTAGCTAAATATATTTCCCAGAATATTAAATACTACTTGTTGTAATGACGAGGCAATCGAGTTGTTTGATCATGTACAACTGAATCATGATGATGATCTTTATTGGAGTATAGTCTTGCATTTATATACATTTTTAGTTATCCTCCATCATTGGTTAACTTTGGTTACTGCTTAACTTTCATTACTGTTTAGTACAGTAATCCATACAATTAGTTATCTCTAGTTAAAGTCTAACATATGTTTACTTCCCCTCTCTAATCCTCCTTTATCCATAGATTAGTGACTTTGTTTGCCTGAGTTGTATTTGCTTGGAAACATTCTTTATCTGAGGTTTGCCATCCGAGATTGGAACATTCCTGCAATTACAACTCTACAACTACTGTTCCAGATAAAGTTGCTTTAGGCTTCAAACCTACTTTGTGATGGCAAACCTTATGTTTAGTATTTGTAGTTGAATAAATTTATACTGCTATATCTATTTATATTGATAAAATGAAAATTATATGATTGCAGGGTTTATTACCATGTTATTGAAATATTTTTCTCAAAAACATTTGGCCAAAATAAATTATCTGTGGTTTTCACCAAATATACTACTACCTCCTGGAAAGCTAATTTTAACTGAGTGTAATGCTAGTTTGCATCATCTTCATAATCAGTTGTCAACTTGTTGAAATTATTTAAAAGGGGTTTGAAATGTAATGCAATCCATTTTAGTGGTATTCAATTTTTTTTAAAAGATTTTGATACTTTAATCTACATTTTGTTGAAATATAACTTTCTATCAGCCCTTCAAGGGTAGACCAGGCTACAGAATGAAAGTCATGTGTGCTAATATTACTTTTATTATAACATTATGGTAACAGAAACGTGAACTCTGAAAATCCTTCTCTCCTCTTTCCCTTTATCTTCATCACAGTTAAGGAGACTTTTGTCTGAGATGCTTTTTCAAGTTACAGTTTTTCAGATTTCTTTTATCTAACTGTTATCTTAGTGGTAGCTCTTCTTGTCCCTCAAATTTATTTATTTTGTCCATTATACTTTGTTGTAAAATGCAAGCAATTGGTATGCAGTTTATCCAGTGGAAAGCAAAATGCTTGTGCTTAAACATTTGTTGTTGATCTGAAAATCCATCAATAGAATTAGGAAAAAATAAAAATAAAAATTTACAATGCTTGCATTGACAGAATTGATGTTCTGTTATTATAGTTATCTAATTGTCTTAAGATACATCTTATTGTTTTTATCCTAGGCAGCCTTACCCTTTTCTAGATATGTTGTATAATGATTTGCTTTAGTTGTAGTCTTTTAGTTATACTCTTCACAGTTAGTGATTAAAGAAGACAAAATTGTAATAAAAAACATCTGATGAGGGTCATTTTGGAGGTCGGTATAACGTGTCCTTTGTTCTTGCTTAGTAATACATAACAAGACATACATTCCTTTAAAAAAGACCAAAAAACTCCCCTAAACTTGTATATATTTTATATTCATACGTGTTTATTAAGCATAAATTGATTTGAAATTTAAATTCATTTGCTATTAAAATCTTCCAAAATAAAAGATATAATTGAATTAACACTGCCCCTTATCAATTTATCTTCAGTTAATTAATTTTTACCCCAATTCTTGTAAAAGATGGAACACCCATTCCTTTTTAACATAATTACTAAGAATCATTATATATGCATGGGAGAAGTGTGTATGGATATATGACTATATACAAAATAATGGGTTGAGAGTAGTTTTTAAATTGGCAGTTCACAAAATAAACAATCAAATATTCGTGGAAGATGCTTGTATAGTATGGAACTGAAACTGACTGCACCAATGGATCCAAAAAGGATTGGATTGCCCTAAAATTTTGTTTTTAATAATAACAAGATAAAAGTGCATAAAATAAATAAATAAAAGGGCTCATTTCTTTTTCTGTACTGTTCTGATTCTTCAAGGTATGCCTGTGGTATAAGAGATCTAGTGGCCAACTGATAATTAATTACAATAATTGTTGGATTGTTCTGATGAGAGTGAGAGTAGCTCACCTTCCAATATGAGTTGATCTTGTCCTGCTTATGAATGTAAATTTAATTTTGGAGGCAGAATATAAAAAAATTAATCGCCTTTCCTTTATTGGGTTCTGATGAATTGATAATACATTCCATGGTAATGCAGTAGTCTGCATAAAGAAAAGTGAACACAGAGACATCAGGAATTCAGTAGTTCAGCCTTAAGCAACACACATTTTTTAGTATTGCCTCCCATGGACCATATTTAATCTTTCCTCTCATCTATGAGCAGCTCATCATTGGTGACTTTCCTGGGAGAATGAGCTCTGAGGGATATATATAGTTCATCACATAATGTGGATGCCCAAGCTGCCAGTACAAGGTAATGATCCATGAAGGAGGCCATCTATAATAATAGTAGATAAATATAGGAATTGGGAGACTGTCCTAGAAGTACTAAAATAGTATGGGAGAGAATACTTTGTCAGCAAAAACAAAGTGGTAATATGTGTAATACTGGGAGAACAGGATTTTGATTGATGGAATATTTAATTATATCTGAGTGGTGTTGACTCATAATTACAGAAATAAACCTCCTTCAATGAAAGAAAATATTTGTAGCTCAGAGTTGAAATGGTGCTCTCTGAGCTTGGTTTTTTTTTTTTTTTGCAGACATTTGATTACGCAAAGTGGGTAAAATTATTAGTGCTAGCACTGATATTATCTAGTTGGGGTAATGAAATTTCTGCAAGAAAATAGCCAAAATCAGTGAACACAAGGACCGCTCAGACCTTCTTCACAATAATCTGTCCCTTACCTGGCTGAAGCAACTGTTAATATTCTAGCCTAAGGTGTACTTTTATTTGCATAGGCGAAGCAGGAGCTTTTGTTCAGGGAAAATGGGAATTATATAGAGAAAGATTCATTTCATTAATTCATTTGTTTTATCCATATAACCCTCCTTGCACTAACTGTACTTATTGGCAGGAATATTTAACAGAAGAGTTACATTAACTTTCCAATATAGCCATAACTGTTATTTAAAAGACAGAAAATTGTTGAGTTAGTCATCAAAAATCAACAAAATTGATCTATTTGGTACATCTAAAGAGAAATTTTGGCTTGATGCTTCTGGTATGACTTAAAGGTGAATATAGAATGGGACCTTGTGGATTCTATTTATTGCTGTTAATGTTTGACTCTTATCTCAGTACTATATCCATAAATGAAAATCAAACTGATTTAATTGGAGAGCCTATTGTGAACATATAATAAAACTATTGACAGTAGTCCATGAGAACTGCTTATGAGACTTGCTTTTTTTAAGATACCAAAAATATGAGAATAAGTCTTTTGTCATCAGCTCAGATATTGCTTTTATATATGCTATTTTCTCTTAGCTAATCTCTCTTGAAAAGGACATTTTTATCTGTCTGCCTATCTTCATAAAATATATTGTTGCTTTTTCATGGATGAAGATATTGGCCTGCTTAAATTCTTTCCTATGGTACAATAAGCATGCATTCTGCAAAATGTTCTTCTAATTTTTATAAAAATAATAATCTGCTGTGATTTCTATTCCAGGCTTTTGGTCAGGCTCATACCAACCACAAGAAAGTAGCAGCAGATGGAGAGAGCAGAGAGGAGACTTTGATACAGGAATCTGCCACAAAAGAAGAATACTACATGAAAAAGGTTATGGAACTGCAGACGGAACTCAAGCAGCTGAAGAATGTCCTTGCCAACACCCAGTCTGAAAACGAACGCCTAAATTCAGTTGCCCAGGAACTGAGAGAGGTGAGCATTTTTAGGCAGTGATGCTTGAATGGAAAAGCTTTTGAATCTGAACAGTTGCATTCCCTTTAAGAGGTAGTTATGTGGCAAGGTTAGGGTAATTAGAAGTATTTTATCCAGTACTACCAATAGACAAGAATGTTTGTAAGTCAGGGTTCAACTTGAAGTCCTTGAAACTTTCTGACTTTGGTTGTTTTTGTGCAACAATGCCTGCCCAATGGAACAAGGATGGAACCCCCCCCTCCTCCTGATGCAGATACTCCCAAATTCACTGAGGGAGAATAAGATCCTTGCATCATTGCTCTTTTCATCTTTTACTTTTAATGTTTTAGAATGGAACAGAACAGAACAGAACAGAACAGAACAGAACAGAACAGAATAGAGTAGAATAGAATAGAATAGAATAGAATAGAATTCTTTATTGGCCAAGTGTGATTGGACACACAAGAAAGTTGTCTTGGTGCATATGCTCTCAGTGTACATAAAAGAAAAGATACATTCGTCATAAGGTACAACACTTAATAATAATCATATTAGAAAACAGTCAATAAAAATCATTAGGATGCAACCAACAAGGTTACAGTCATACAGTCATAAGTGGGAGGAGATGGGTGAAAGGAAGGATGGGAGGATTAATGGTAATAGTAATGCAGACTTAGTAAATAGTTTGACAGTGTTGAGGGAATTATTTTTTTAGCAGAGTGATGGCGTTCAGGAAAAAACTGTCCTTGTGTCTAGTTGTTCTGGTGTGCAGTGCTCTGTAGCATCGTTTTAAGGGTAGAAGTTGAAACAATTTAGTTCCAGGATGTCAGGGGTCTGTAAATATTTTTAGAGCCTTCTTTTGGATTCGTGCAGTATACAGGTACTCAGTGAAAGGCAGGTTGGTAGTAATTGTTTTTTCTGAAGTCCTAATTATTCTCTGAAGTCTGTGTCTGTCTTGTTGGGTTGCAGAACCAAACCAGACAGTTATAGAGGTACAGATGACAGACTCAGTAATTCTGTAGAACTGTATCAGCAGAAATGTCTAGGTCCTATCATATCACAAGACTTAAAATGACAACTAACATCAAAAATGTCATCAAAAAAGCACAACAAAGAATGTCCTTTCTGCACCAACTCAGAAAGCTCAAACTGTCCAAGGAGCTGCTTGTTATAATTAATACGTTTCTCTAATTTCTGGCCATTGAAATGCAAGAAATCTGAGAACTCGCCTTTTAGTAGAAGAAAATCAAGTAATTAAAAAAAGATGAAGGGGCTTTTCTGTTTTCAAGAATCCCTAATTCAAAAAAAATACTACCAACCTGCCTTCCACTGAGGACCTGTATATTGCCCAAGTCAAAAAGAGGACTGTGAAAATATTTACAGACCTCTCACATCCTGGACATAAACTGTTTCAACTCCTTCCCTCAAAATGACGCTATAGAGCGCTGCACACCAAAACAACTAGACACAAGGACAGTTTTCCCCCGAAAGCCATCACTCTGCTAAACAAATAATGCCCTCAATACTATCCAACTATTTACAAAGTCTGTACTACTATTACTATTAATCTTATCACTCCTTATCACCCATCCCCTCCCACTTGTGACTGTATGACTGTATCTTTGTCGCTTGTATCCTTACTATTTATATTGACTGTTTCCTAGTATGATTTGATTGCTTATTGTACCCTATGACTATTATTAAGTTCTGTACCTTATGATTCTTGACTCTTGATGAACGTATCTTTTCTTTTATGTACACCGAGAGCATTTGCACCAAGACAAATTCCTTGTGTACCAATCACACTTGACCAATAAAGAATTCTATAAAGAATTCTATGTTAAACTCACAAATGTCATTCAAATTCCATGTTCGTTTTGGAAACTTCCAATTTTAATTTAAAAAATGCTTAATGACTTCAGGAAACAAGTTTTCTATTTCTAACAGAAAATTTCTGTGGCTAAAATCCTCAATCACAGAAATTTAAGCAAATCCCAGAATAATGTCTGATATTAGCCATAGTCAGAATATAAGAAAACAAATTGCTGCTTAACTGAGGTACTCCTGCTCAGTCATAGGACAGATCAAAGGGTTGCTTATCATTCTGAATTCATTTGCAAATGAAAAAGTGAAATGTAATATACAATTTCCACACTTCCCTTAGTTATGGTCACTTGATCTAGTTCGAAGCCTACTTTTGCTTTCTGCTCTTTAGGTAATACACAAAAAATTTGGCTGTATTCACAATGCATGAAATTACTCTAAAAGGGGGAGGGAGGAAGAGATCTCATGCAGAAGGAAGGGGGAGTGAAATGTGGATCCTTGCTTAGCATTTGTGCACCCCAAAACTCCAATTCTTACTAAACTATATTTTTAGCTCAATCAACCTCACTACTATCACTGTACTTTCCTAAATTTCTCCTCCATCAAGACATTAAATAACAAAAGGAAACTTCTCTACAGAATTGCCATGGAGTAATTTTTTCACTCTACCCCACTGCCATGGACTTATTTTGCAGCAGTGGCATGACTATAACTATACATGCCCATCATTGTTAATCTCTTTGCAAGGTTTCAGGGAACAATTATTGACCTGCATTAGTAGGATAATTTAAAAACAAAAGTTTAGAAACTCAAAGATTAATGAGAAAGCGAGAACTTACAAGTTTTATATCTTTGAAGATCCAGTTTGTTGGGGGCAATATGCTGACTCTGTAAATCACTTAGAAAGGGCTGTAAAGTCTTAGACCATAAGTCTAAATTATATTGCTATTGCTATTTTATTTCAGAAATGAACTCCTTTTAAAAAGAAGGGAAGGAAGGAAGCTGGGGGTTTGGGGTTACCTCCTACCCATAACTTTCTCCTTGTTGTCTGTGAAGAAGATTGTAAACTACAACTAGTTAAATTAATTGAGCATCTACTTTTCTGTTACACCTATGTTTTCTTAATATATAGAACTGAAACTCCTTTTTGAAGATGTTTATTCTTCTGTTGTGTATAGGTATGAATGCATAAAAATAATTGGCCTATTTCCAAGGGTAATATATTTTTTAAATAGGTATGATACAACATGATTACCGGTACTTTTAAATAACAGTTGTTTCATTTTCTTTTGTTCCTGTTCAGACATGCTGATAGGGTGGTTTCTAATTATGAATGTAGCTCTTCATATTTGCTGGCTCAACAAATTCTGTCTCATGTGATCATTCTAAAAAATGCATAAGTCATTTTGTGTTTCATTATTCAGAGCAAGCTGTAATTCAGTGAGCAAAGTACACAATTTGCATGTAAGTAGTTCCAGGTGCAGTCCCCAGTATCTCTGGGTCCAGTTGCTGCTAGTCACTGTTGACTGAGGTATAATGGACCAATAATCTAATTTGATTTAAGGCAAGGGTTTTTTTTTAATATATATTTCTGTGTTTCATTTAAGTAAGAGTGAAATGCAGAAACTTAGGCTAATATGGTTGCTGCTCCCTAAAGCAGATATGTGGATTATTTTAGGTTCCAGAAAGAAGAGCTCTTTCATTTTAGATTACACTAAAAATATGATAGTTCTATACTTTATTCCATTTAGGAACACAAAATTATTGTAAAGGTGTTTGCTGTCAGACTTTCGGAAGAGACTATTGCCAATTGAAGACATAAGAAGTTTTGGGCACTAGTTACTCTTGTTTTCAGCAATCTAGATTGGCATAGTTGAGCTAGTGCTTGTAAACTCTTTCATTGGTTCCTGCTTTCATAAATTCGTGTTCTTCCCTCTCACGTGTTTATTAGGTCAGAAACAAAGAAATAACACAAATGTAGTAAGTTGGCCATCACCATTTCCAGAAGCACATCTGACTTTTGTTCATACTTGGTAAATAAGTGAGGGTATTAAGATGGGCATTTTTATTTGATACTATCTTTATAAAATTCTATTAAGATAGACTTGGTATGACTTTATGATTTGCTATAAAATAAATTAAGTAAACTATAGTTATCTCGTTAAAGTATGAACTAACAAAATTATAGTCAAATGATTGTTTAATAATGATATCAGGCTGTATAATTATTGATTGATAATATGAGCTATTATGTAATATAACTACAATGGAGACTATGAAGTGGATGCACACAAAAAAGTGGTAAACCAACCGACACACTGTCTGTAAACTCATAAAGGAAAGGATGATGTTTTTATGTTTTATGTGTTTTGTTTGTTGTTAAAATTAATAAAACTGTTTTTTTTTTAAAAAAAAGATGGGCATGTACTAAATTTTCAGGCTTTGTTGTCTGCCCATTCTTCCCTCAGTTTATAATCAGAATCTCTAAACAGATATAGGGAAATTCTGCTTTTGTATAAAATGAAGGAAATATTTTTGCCCCGCCCCACAAAGTCCTGTAAGACTCTAGTCCAAGAGTATCCAACCTGCAGCCCATGAGGCTCATATGGCCCTGTACAGCTAGTAATGTGGCCCCATAAGATTGTAAACTTTTACCATTATTATGTGGTTCTGTATTATTAAAGCTATATATAGTGTATATGTAGTCCAAGACAATTCCTCTTTACTCAGGCAAGCCAAAGGTTGGACACCAATACTCTAGGCCAGGACTGTTAAACTTGTGGCTTGCAGGCCAGATGCGTCACATGCTGACCAAGCCAGTGCCCAGTTTAGCAAAGGGGGGAAAAGTCCCGATATATCATGTGACGCCGCCGATACACTGTGAGTTTGACTCCCCTACCTTAGGCTGTGATTTCTTCTCAATTAATCTCTCAGCATTTATTTGGCCTGGACACAAAAATAATTGCAAAAGAAATCTACAGCTAGGAATGGAAGTGGTGGGAGAAATGTGGATTCTGTTTAAGAAGATGGTGTTGGACTCTACGCAGCTTCTATTCCCCGCCTTCCCATTCAACCAATATTATTTCCAGCAATTGTTTATTTTTAGGTTCCAGTGCTGTCACCATAGTAGCCAGCTAAGCTTCTTGTTCATCTGCCTACATTGGCTGTCTGGAGCTTTTCTCTATATACACAGTAGC